AGAGACGTGCCGACGGGGTTGCTTTGGACCTCGACGCCCGTGATCCCATAAGTGTTGAAGCAACCTTAGGTGGCCGCCTTAGAATCAAGGGTGGGGGTATTTACATTGTATCACCGGGATCGATGATACTCTGCATCACCCCAAAAGCGTGGCTCACCGAGTCATTACGGATGGAAGACTCTGAGGGACCGCCCAGGGTACCGGCTGTATCCGATGCGAGGAAACTGTGTCTCCTTTCACTTTAAATATGTGAGAGGGAGCGTGTTCGACTGTGCGTCTCATGACAGGGTCGGTTCCCTCTAGGGACGCCCGTGGGTCGGTAAGAAGGGAGTCAAAACCCACAGTGGAGACCGGACACAAGGATAAATTCGTTACCGTTGTACCGTTACTGCGCGACGAACCCTGGCTTGCTGAAATTAGGGGGGCAACGTGTGCCCTGCCCTGAAAGCCCTGCCCCGAGATCGGAAGCTTGGCAGCCAGCATTCCGATGGCATTCAGTACCCGAGGCTCCAGAGGAGGCCCGGTGCAATTAGCCTGAGCCTCGGCCTCACCCAAATTAGTGGGAGAGCTGCGGCTGGGAACGGGGGTTCATGCAAACATGCTTTCGTGTTTCTTCCTGCTTGCCCACCAAGGGGCCGCAGTGGAGACAGCTCGCTCCGACAGCGTCTGATCTACCCGGCCTGCCAGGGACGCAATTGCCCTGACAGACCTTTGACCAAAGCCCTCAACTCGGGGCAAACCCAGCGCTGTGCTAGGAAGGGTCCACAAAGAGACCCGCAACGGGCCCCATAGGAGGAAAGACCTCCAGGGGCTGCAGCCGGTAAAATCGGGTAAACCACTGCCTGAAAAAACAGACTGTGAGGATGCCCTCCGATCAGCGGGGGGAGACCGAGAAAAAATATTTGTACCTCCACCATCGGGCCTCCAAAGCACCGGTAGCCGAGTGTGAGGACTTTCCACTCATGCCAAACACGCACTCACTTTAGCTGATTTGTTTACTGGACGCGCGACCTTGCTGTGAAGAAACGAGCGATGCAGTCAGTCTCAGCGATTTTGATGGCTCTGAAAGAAAAATCTCAGGCCTCAGAACTCCAGTGAAAAACACACGCCTTCACGGCAAAAACCCTGAACCCTGCACGTAGCTACAATTAACGTATTTCGTTTGCGGGTTCTATGCTGGTAAATTCTGAATATAACCACTGCACAGTCGATTCAAAGCACGAGGAGTCCCAAAAAAAAACAGCAGCGAGCCCTGGTGCTGTCATTACATCTATTCATTTCTACATACATAGATCAAGCATAAAATGAAGACGACATGCATGAGGGAAGCGAATTACAGTAGGAAAGGAGACGTAACAAAACCAACAAGTGATTAAGCTATGTCGCCCGGGTTTTATTTGTTTGTTGTGAAAAATACTACACAACAAAGGGGAAAATGACACAAGGGTAAAAATGACAAGGAAAACTTATCCTACCAGCTACAATGTCGAATGCCGGGCATCAGCAAAAACCCAAGCTAGAAACCCAGACAGGAAAAAAAGCAGGCGATCCAGGCAGAGCTCGCTAGACTTGATCTCCACTTGATGCGGAGAAGAAGCAGAGTGATTGTACAGCCGTCTATGGCGCTGCCATATGGGCTCGGTCATGTGGTTCGTGACGTAAAAGAAAGAGAATCTTTGGGTCATGGGGCTTCCCCTGACCTAGATTCTATCTCTCCGTCACCGACAGAATTGCTAATTAATGCCTACAGTTCAAAATAGTCATTTTGACTGACCAGAGTCTATGGCGGGTAATTAAACGTAGTGAATTGGCCACAGACCAATGGATTAGTTGACCGCTGATGCTGGGTGGATCAGAGTGTAAATTTGTTCAGACTGGCCTCAGACCACTGGATTAGTTGACCCCTGATGCTGGGTAGGTCACTGACTTGAGACCACTAGATTTGCTGATGCTGTGTGGGTCAGAATGCAAACTTGTCCAGACTGACATCAGACCATTGGATTGTCTAACCCAGGATACTCACAGTGGGTCAGAGTGCAAATTTGTTTAGATTTTCCTCATACCATTAACTGACCCTTGTTGCATAGACCAGACTGACTTGACACTAAATTTGTTGATGCTGAGTGGGTCAGAATGCAATTTTTTCAAGTGATCTTACACAGATTTGCTAACCCCTGATGATGAGAGATGGACAAAAGTAGGTATTATTAGATCTTACCCGTCTTTGTATCTCAGTAAGAAATGATTAGGAAAGTTGACAGTCTGTACTTGTACACTGAATCTACTGGCGATGGATGCATACAATATTGCTAAACTTATTGGTATTCCAGTCTTTCTTTCCAGTACCTGCAAAATTTAAAAAAAACAAGCCATGCATGGCACAGTCCCCTTTAGTTATTAAATTTAAGATATATAGTTTTGTTTATAGTAATATAGCTGGAATATAACTATGTCAGGAATATGATTTGTTTAACATTAAAATGATTGACATTTCTATCTGATCGTCAAACAAGTACTTGTCCATATTGAGAGAAATTGCACTGGAACAGCATTCAAAATCAGCCATTTTGAATACATGTATATATATAACATGATGTATAACGAATATATAAAATTTGAATATAATCAGTCAAAGCATTTAATGATATGGCTCTAGAAGCCAAATCATTAAAACAAAATGGCCGCCAGTCAGCCATTTTGAATCCAATCTGAAAAATAAAATGATGAGCATCAGGAACCCGTAATGTCTAATGTATGTACCAAGTTTGAACGAAATCCACCCATAAATGCTTGATATTTTATGATTTTTTATCACAAAAATGACCACCATTCGGCCATTTTGAATAGGATAGTCAAACCAATATATCTGTTTATCTATGACATGATGTATAATGAATATTTAAAATTTGAAAATATTATCAGTCAAAACAAGTCGGAAATATGGGTCTAGAAGCCCATTCATTAAAACAAAATGGCCACCAGACAGCCATTTTGAATCCGATCTGAAAAATATGGCACGAGAACCACATTCATTAAAACAAAATGGCCGCCAGTCGGCCATTTTGAATCTTATCTGAAAAACAAAATTATTTGCATCAAGGTCCCATAATGTCTAATGCATATACCAAGTTCGAACAAAATCCACCAGAAAACAGCCGAGAAATGCTTGATTTTGATAATTGTTAACACAAAAATGGACGCCATTCGGCCATCTTGAATCAGATCGTAAAACAAAATGATGTGCATCAAGGTCCTATAATGTCTAATGTATATACCAAGTTTGAACAAAATCCATCTGTAAACAGCCGAGAAATGCTTGATTTTGATGATTTTTAGCACAAAAATGGCCGCTATTCGGCCATCTTGAATCAAGATCGTGAAACAAATTGACGTGCATATGTATAATATCATGTATGATGTATGTGTGAAGTTTGATTGTGATTGGTCAAGGCATTTCTAAGATACAGGTCCGGACGCACGCACAGACGCACACACGCACGCACACACGCACGCACAGACACACGGAGGTCAAAACATAAGTCCCCATTTTCGGACTGCGTCCGAACGGGGACTAAAAACTCAGAGACTTCCTAGCACTGTAATTTCAATGCCAGCCCATCGTTTAATATATATACAAATGTTATCAGATGTGTTAACCCTATATACTAACATACACCATTATCTGTCTATTGTCAAAAATATGCCATGTACTATGCAAAAAATACTCATTGGTAAATCCACATCATAAAATAATAAATAAATGCTTACTTTATTAATATAAGAATTCATTTTCTCATAGTAATTGACATCATTTCCAGTGAATTTTTGCTGTTTGTATAATACAGTATTAAGACATTCTAAGACTTGTCTACCCTGTGATGGAGTCATTTCAACTTTGCAAGGCACTGCAAATGTAACAGAAACAATCAAGTGCAGTGTCAAGGTGTTGACAGTCAAAATTTGTACACATATCTATGTGAATCCATATTTCAGTCGCGTTGTAATGGCATCAAGATATCGAGTGCCATTTGACAAATGCGTAATTATTTTTTTCTGTACTTCCACTCTCAATAATGTCGCTATATGCATTTGATGATGGTCGATTTGGATGAGGTAAGGATATCTCAATGCCATATCTCTGTTTTGACATTGAACTATAAAAAAATCCAAATTGAAAATCGTATCACTCAATTGTTCAGCAGACGTTTGATCTGCCTCGTCTTTCATGCATTTCACAACATCTAGCAGTGAAGAGAAAATCCCCTAATGTGTTAACTGTGAATTCAGTAGCTACCAGGGGAAGGTTTCTGACTGGTCATGTACATAACACTGACTACAAAACTCACACAATATAAAGATTTTGGTGGTAAATAATTGGTGCTAGCCTATCAATATTAATCTAAAATGTATGTAGCTCACTTCACTCCGTCTAGGTACAAAGCTAGTAATACTGCACAGGGAAACAACATAATATTGGCTCATTTGAAAGCTGTACTTGATTCACCTGATTGTTATACCTTTATAACAATAGCTGACAGCAATTAATAATTACTAGCATCGTACCAATGCATAGATTCTAGGTGCACAGCAAGTGAAACACCGCAAAGATTCTAGGCATTAGTGAAGAGGTGTATAGTGAGTGGAACACTGCAAAGATTCTAGGCGTTAGTGAAGAGGTGTATAGTGAGTGAAACACTGCAAAGGTTCTAGGTATTAGTGAAGAGGTCTATAGTGAGTGGAACACTGCAAAGATTCTAGGCATTAGTGAAGAGGTGTATAGTGGGTGGAACACTGCAAAGATTCTAGGCATTAGTGAAGAGGTGTATAGTGAGTGGAACACTACAAAGGTTCTAGGCATTAGTGAAGAGGTGTATAGTGAGTGGAACACTGCAAAGATTCTAGGCATTAGTGAAGAGGTGTATAGTGAGCGATCACTGCAAAGATTCTAGGCATTAGTGAAGAGGTGTATAGTGAGTGATCACTGCAAAGATTCTAGGCATTAGTGAAGAGATGTATAGTGAGTGGAACACTGCAAAGATTCTAGGCATTAGTGAAGAGGTGTATAGTGAGTGGAACACTGCAAAGATTCTAGGCGTTAGTGAAGAGGTGTATAGTGAGCGATCACTGCAAAGATTCTAGGCATTAGTGAAGAGGTGTATAGTGAGTGGAACACTGCAAAGGTTCTAGGCATTAGTGAAGAGGTGTATAGTGAGTGGAACACTGCAAAGATTCTAGGCATGAGTGAAGAGGTGTATAGTGAGTGGAACACTGCAAAGATTCTAGGCATTAGTGAAGAGGTGTATAGTAAGTGAAACATACCTTGTAAATTACGCACTGGATGATTAGGACACCTAGTCTTGATTTCAGCATGAACCAAGCAAGCTAATTTATCAATTTTATGTTTTATTTCCTTCATACTAATTTGTAATGTGGATTGACACCACTGCGCTAGAAGTACAGCACCTTCAAAAACAAGAAAATAACATTTATCATGAATTCAATCTAGCAATGGGATTTGGTTTGAAAAAAGAACATGTACAAATATTAAATGTTTTGATACAAAAATGACACCAGTCAATTATATTTTGATATGGAGTTGTTTACCTTCATCAAGTTAAAATTTGTGTATTCAAAATTGTGTCAGATATGTGCCACATTGTGTTTTGATGATAATAGTGGCTGCCAGAGAGCCATAACTGTTGAAATAATATAAACATATGGGTGATAATACATTGTGTTATCTGTCAAGTTCTGATTAAATAGTCTATCCACATTTGAGAAGCTGGTACTATCTCCAAGACATTATTTGAAGAGGCTGACAAAAATATAAGTATGCTAAAAAAAATAGCATAATTGCTCTATTAGAAACACATCTCATAAATGCACATAAAATTGCATTTACTGTTTACTGAATTATTAAAATCTGATTCATTTTAACCATTGAGGCAAGCATAAATACAATAACCATACTTTACTATTTACTTGATGCTAGGTCACTGTCTAATGCAACATTATGCACAGTTTTATTTATTTTTCAATACCTGCTTTGTTAATTTTGGACTGAATGGAAGTAAGAATGGATTACAGAGTGACAACCTTTAGTAACTCTCTTCTCTGCAGACATTAATTGTGCTGAACATGACTGGTTTCGATAAAACTCACCATGTTCAAGAAGCTGCTCTTCCTGCGGCAGTTCTAGAAATCTTCTCCATTCTTTTGCTAAGCTATAATGTTGTACAAATCTCAAACATTTTTCAGCATAATATTTCTTTGTCAGATCAGTACGCCTATAAACAGTGAAATTCACATTGATAAGTCTTCATGATATTTAGTCATTACATAAATTAGAGACAAAAACTCACCAGATCTTGCACTTTTCCCACTTAAACACCTAAAATCTGATGTTTGTTTCTCAACTAAATTTTGTAACTAAATTCTGAGTTTTCAGTGTCATTAGATTTGTACACACAGACATTGATATGACATGAACTTACTTATTATTGTCATAAATAATAGCCAGAAGTTCATCTTGTACAAATTCACAGTGGATATCACTTGATGTAAAGATGTCTTGTATTTCACTGAATCCTTCATTTGAGACATCATCTAAATGATAGTACAGTGGTGACAGTTTACAAATTATCGGCTGTATAGAGTGGTGTATAGTCTCTCGTAATTTGTAAACATCCAGCCAGTCTTTCTGTTTGCTATCAATACATACATCAGATAAGGCAGGCCACCTACAGAAATCAATTTTCATATAATTAATAAGCATGTTTTCTATAAGTTTATAAGAAAAACAGTTTTTATACTTAATTACAAGACATCATATATTCACAACTAAGCATTTCAGTATTGTAAGACGTAATAATTCTCAATTAACAATATTGACCAATATTTAGAAAATAAAATAAGAGAAAGTCCAGGAGCAACTAGTTCCTTAACTACATTTCCCAACTCAAGCATATGAGGGCATTCTGGTTCTATTGATAATTCACTGAATTTTACTGTTTTGTTTTAAAATTGCTTAAAGTCAATGATGCTGAGATGAGTCCAACAACATGATCAGAAAGTCCACACACTGTAATAGGACTAGAAAGTGGGAAAGGTTTTCATTATTAAAACTTTGAAAAAACATTTTGAAATAATATCTGTATTATACTATTCAGTAAATTTTGCTATCGTTTCCACTTCTTCAATGTGCTAAATATGCTACACTACTTAAATTATTTCGGAATTTGGTTGTTAATTCCGAAAACATTGTCTTCTCCACACTTATACACATAACATCAAAATGATTGTTTAGACTGCAAACATATTTGTAATATACAATGCCTTGGGCCAATGTCCAATGGGCAACTTTACAGTAAAAACATTAGTCGGCAAATAATTTCCTCCCAGTATAGAGTTCGTGAAAAAATAGTGGAAATGCTTTTGGATGGGAAATCTTATTTTGATATTTCATCATGACAAAAGGTTCACATCAACTGGTGACATTGACGAACAGACCGACGTCTAGTTGTGAGAAATCCGAAGCAAACTTATCACTGAAAATATTTGGACATCAGAAAGTGATGAGTTGAAAGGTTGAATGCATGCTCACACATACCAGTATGTTCTCAAATAGCTGGGGTCACCAGAAAAACTGCTAATGGTGATTTTTGTCGAAAAAGTGGTGTTTAACCGAAAATATAAGACATTCATTCAAACCTTTGACATTTTTCAAAACTACAGTACGCAATGCTAATGTCCATGTGTAAAAAATTGATTAAATAGAAAATGCTTGTTGAGTTTTGTTTCCTCCCTTTAGATACAACGACCCATTTGCAATTTGAATGTTTTTCAATGATTTATTTCTTTTTCAATTCAAAATGGATGACTAAGCTTTTTTTTCTGCTAGATCCTTAAATCGTAAACAATTTGCCCTACTGTGATGGTGGTCTATTCGTTTTTTGTTTTTTATTTTGCAAAGTGTACGTCATGTAACAACAACTGCCGGTACACTTAGAAATGTAAACAACAAATGCTTAATTGAAGTACCAATCCATCTCAGATTTAAACTTTTGATTTGTTTTCAGTTTATTTTTTTCTTCATTTACTTTGCAAGTATCATAATGAATTTCATTTTTCCATTTTGTAATAAACATAATTTTAATTTTTTCATCAATATTTTTCATCTGTATTAGACTAAATATGTCAAATTTTTGCAATTGTTGCATTTCATTTATGTTATTGGGATGTGTATTGACACTCTCAGAAAAAAACTGTAATAGTTGATGTGAACGTTTTCTATTGATGACCTGTAAGAGCTCTCGTCACCACACATCACTTCCATAACAAGGATCAATTTGTCAAACAATGATAGAAATACAACAACAACATCGTTACCACATGCCGGGAGTTGATGTTTAACAGTGGTTCTTCCTCGTGGCGTAAAATATTGCGGCCCAACGGCAAGAATTAAATCATATATATGATTTATAAATTTAAATAACAAAATGCTGTAGCTGTAGTGGTGGTGAATCATGATGACCAACCTTTGCACAAATTTGTTGCGCCAAATTTCTCGACTCAGTGATATCGCACGAAATCTATGACAGGTTAACGAGAATGATGCGATGTCAGTATGGTCAAGCTTCCTCTGGCACAAAATTGCTTCAATTATTTCATCTGCGAGCTCATTTATCGTACGTCCACCAGAAAACGACGGCGAAAACCCGGCCATAATTTTTTACATTCGCCAAACCTCGACGTGACCTTTAACCTCCAGCACAACTTTTAGGACCAAAACTTCTCAAGATCCTTGTTTACAAATTTGTTGACGGGAACTATAAAATATAGTAAAAATTTAACAAGTTTTTTTTTGTATATTTTAACTGTATAAACGAAGTTAATGTAGACGAAGTCACAGTCTACAAAAATAAGACTGTTTAGCGACCCTTTGATCATGTGATGTAAACATACCAAAATGGCTGCCGACATAGCGAAGCAGAAATTTTCTTCGTTTGCTGAATATGTTTTCCCCGGGATTACTGTGAGGGATAGGCGACAAAAGCACGCCATAAATCCAGGTAAAATGACATTTAGTTTGCACGGAGTGCCATACCATACACAATTTTGACTAAAATTAGCAAAATGTTTACTAGTTGTTGGTAAGGGGGCCCGGGCCGACCATTTGAAATCATCGGAAGATTTGTTGAAAACAAAAAATGTGCAAGCTAGACACCGAGAGAAGAAAAAATATGCAATTTGTTGCAGGAAAAAAACGGGAAAGACTTTCCAATGTACCTCTAATGCTAACTCTAATCTGACTCCTATCTTCTAAAAGAACATGTCCTTCTTGAGGACACCTACCCTATACTAGTAGTTATCTGGGGGCATATGCAACTGAATTGGGGGAGCTGGAAGGTTAGGGTTAGTATTTGGATAAGGGGTAGACGTACGGCGGAAAGTATGCTATGTTGTCGATTTCAGTGAGGCATGTTTACAAAAAAAACAAAATATATTTGATATTGAGGTTGAATTTTGATGTTCCTGTGGGAAACAGTGAAATTCATAAAGTCACAAATGTTTTAGCAGATGCATATACACAGAACTAAGAACCACTACACAGATTCATGGATTAGTGATATTAATAGAACAGATTCTAAGCTTAGAACATACTGCCTCCTTAAAAATGATATCAGTACGTCACCCTATCTGCATTTATTTACATAATAGAGAAGACATCAAAGTAATGTCACACTTGAGATTGAGTTGCCATATAAAACTTCAAATTGAAGTTGGCAGACATAATTGGCCATTTTAAACTGCATTTATCTTAATTTTCTTTAACTTCTATTTTTATTACTGTTTTTTTTTTAAATTTATTACATAACAGCCTAAAATGATTTGTTAACTTTCATTATGGTGTAATAAATGAAATTATTATTATACATGTATACTGTAAACAGTAAATCATTTTCACGGTTACAACATTTTGCAAAAGACAATGATATGTCAGTTGTGTTCTGTGTTGTAGAATCCAAGATAAATTGTAACTGCTACAAATTTCTGTTATGCAATGCTGCTTTATAAGTTCAATGTCAAACTACAGTCAATTAATTGGTCAAGCCTATTTGCATAACATGATTTGCATTTTAAATCTCCATATTTTGTTCAAATTCTGTAGGCAATGAGATTGTATCTAATCTACCTCTGCAGATGATACTTTACTTCAATGTATTTTATTTCCCATTATGGCTTATTACATGTGTAGTAATGTATGAATTAAAGGTAAGTTGTGATTTATGTCAACTTAAAAAAATATCCAATAGAAAAAAAAAAAACAGAAAAAGATTTAATGCACTGCTGATAAAAAGTACTCATGAAAACAGCTATTTCCCTATTACTTTCCCTTGAAATTGGAATACCGGTACACACTTTTCTGGATTACCTGTGTATGTGGTTTACTCTTAATTTTTTGACTCCCATGTGCAAAGCACAAAAAGGGAGTCTTTGCAGTTAGTGTGTCTGTGTGTGTGTCTGTTCCACTGATATCTCAAGAACCATACATTGATTTTTGATGAAACTTGGTGCATAGATGCTCTTGGCCAATGTGCAGATTTGATTAGGTTTTGGTAAAAATTCATGCTTATTAATTACCTAATTTGCATGATAATTAGCTGATTTTTAGCTGTTCCATGATTGTTCCACTGATATCTAAAGAACCACTCATTGGATTTTGATGAAACTTGGCACATAGATGCTCTGAACTAATGCACAGATTTGATTAGTTTTGGGTAAAAATCTGTGCAATATTAATTACCTAATTTGCATAATGATTATTAAATTTTTGGCTTTTCCACTGATATCTCAAGTACTACCGTATTACCCCGGGCACGTGCCCCTCCCTGGGCAAGCGCCCACCCCCTGTTTTCACAAAAGTTACATGTTGGGGACATTCTCGGTTAAACGCCCAGGGTGATTTTTAGCCAAGAACGGGGTCAACAATGAAGTTTTATTTGTCAAAAACGAACACGTTCGATTTATTTAAATAGTGTGTTTGTTACGGTAGTTCTCTTTTTGGAGTGTGTGGTGGCCCTGAAAAGGGCCGCTTTGTTTGTGTTTTTACGTAAAAACTCATTGGAACTTAACGACGTAAGATGAACCACGCAGCATGCGGCGCACACGTTCTGCTTTCTCTTCATTCACGATGAATCCAATATTGCAATATTGCAACGATCCATACCTTGGTTGAGCAGTTTGAAACACTTAGCCTTGGTTTCAAAACGTAGTATTTCGCTGAGCTACTTTCTTTCCATCCTTCATCACAGCTATGGATGGCATTACGGTCATGTGGATTATTTTTCTGTCGTTTCTGCCAACCTCAAGTCCATTACGATAACCATAATGAGGCATGCCGATGATGGGAACTTGTTGCATCATCGTTATTTTTGTAGTTTTGTCACGTGTGTGGGTGCGTGAATAAATCATGTTAATGAGGTCGACCAGAGTTTATTTTCAGTCTGTTTTTTATGTATCGCCATTTGGATATGTTTATGTATTCACAATAGTTTGTAAACATTTCACATCAGTAATAAAAGGTTTATTTGTTTCATAACCCTGTCTGCTATTCTTCAGTAATTACGATGCGATGTATCAATACGTGCGTGAACAAAATTATGCTAATGAGGTCATCGCCATCTTGGATTACAAGCGGTAGTTTTTCCCAGTCGTTTCGACTTGCATGCACTGATCACGGTTACTAAAAAGGGGGGGGTCCTCGGGTAAGCGCCCACCCCCATTTTCCCCGATTTTGTATGTTCAGGCCCCTGGGCGCGTGCCCGGGGTAATACGGTAATCCTCACATTTCAATAAAACTTGGTACATAGATATTATAGGACACTGCACAGACCTGATAGTTGTTAGTGTAATATCAGTACATATTAATTACCTAATTTGCATAATTAATTAATTTTCAGCTTTTGATATTCCAAGTAGTAATCATCACATTTCAATGAAACTTGGTACATAGATGTCATATGACACTGCACAGACCTGATAGATTTTAGGGTAATATCAGTACATATTAATTACCTAATTTGCATAATTAATTAATTTTCAGCTTTTGATATTTCAAGTAGTAATCATCACATTTCAATGAAACTTGGTACATAGTTACTTCAGGACTGCAGAGACCTGATTAGTTTTGGGGTAAATATTTGTGCATATTAATCACCTTATTAGCATAATTAGTTAAATTTCAGCTTTTCGCCTGATAACTCAAGTACTGATCATCATA